AACTGTTTCAGGTCACGTGTAACTAACGAATTGTTTGTTAAATGTCTTATTCCCCTCAAATCTATACCAAACAGCATAGTACAAGTGTGTGTGTGTATGTATTTCTTTGATTGACAACTGTTATTCATATTTTCATTTCACTCTGCTTTATTATTTTTCTGTACTTGTGATCAAGAGTAAATTTCTTAGTAAACACATTAGAAATGATTGACAATTTGTTGTTTTGTTGTCTAAAATTAAGAGATTAGATTTAAAAGATTTTCCAAAGGAATTCTACCAACTATTGTACTTTGTTGTTACTGTTGTTGTTATCATTCCTAATTATTAAACATTGAATTTGTAATCACGGATTTGTTTAAAAAGATCAGCTTATTCATTAATTTATTGAATTAAATATGTAAATGGGTTGAATAACTCCGCTTCATTTGGTTACGTTGATCACTGATCTTGGCTTTGAGTTATAGCAGTAACGGTTTATTGTAATTTACAAGCGTTATGTTATTTTATGAAATCAGATTTGTGGAGGGACAGTTGAAATAGTTGAAAACCAAGTAACCACAGACAACTGTTTTTGCTTACGTTATCGGATCGTAGGAACACATTGTTGAGGCGTCTCATACTAAGGCGAACCAGCCAGTAATTTAATAAGTTAAGTCAATCATATATAGGCTAAATAACAAGCTCAAGACAGTGGTCAAGATTTAGATTCGTGTTCTAAGGAGGGACACGCCATTAGTTGAATATGAGACTTTATTCTCCAATGAAATGGATGCACATATATTCTGGATTCGATTATATCCAATACAACTTCCTTCTCACTCTCGGTGTTCTCATTCGATGAGCTGATTTGAGCTTTCATATAAGAATCTTATATATCAGTAGCAGACTCACACAACCGCATAACAAAGCACCATTTTTCCTCTTCATTTAGTAGTAACCCAGTTGAGAACAACCAACCAGTGACAAACATTCCTAAATAAATTAGACTGATCTACATAAAATTTCTTTAACTAAAATATATAGTAAACAATAATTTAACAGTAAACATTTCAAAATATAGCGGAAATTTCAACAAAATCTCGGCTTTTTTAAAGTCGCTTAATAATGAATAATCCAAATAGAGAGTTTTACAAATATGCGTTATCCTGAATAATCATATCAAAATAAATCAACAAAATGAATAGCGAATAAATCAAACTATTTAACTAGCAGTGATAATTAGAATAACTAGGCACTTACAATATGGATCAGAGGGGGTTTTGTGGAGAATTTAGTATTTTCACAGTTGAAATCATGAGTCAATTGAAGCTAGACCACCGTGGAAAATCTGGAAGAACTGGACGGCCGTTTCGTCCTATTATAGGACTCCTCAGCAGTGCGCATCCACGAACCCACTCTCGCGAGCGAGATTCGAACCCAGGACCTACCAGTCTCGAGCCGAAGCCCTTAACCGATAGACCATTGAGCTGGCATCCAACGGCGTTAATGTCTAACTTCAACCAATCCACGGTTTTGAGCGAGCGTTCACCAATTGTCTTCAGTGAGTTGATATCTCTACAACAGACTTGGTAGAACTCCACTGGCCACTGCTTCCCACTAGAACTCAAGGAAATATCTCTTGAAGTCAGTCACTAGTGAGCATATGATTATAGATCAGATGGGGTTTTGCGGAGAATTTAGTATTTTTCACAGTTGAAATCATGAGTCAATTGGAGTTCTACCAGGTCTGTTGTAGAGATATCATCTCACTGAAGACAATTGGTGAACGTTCGCTCAAAATCGTGGATTGGTTGAAGTTAGACATTAACGCCGTTGGATGCCAGCTCAATGGTCTATCGGTTAAGGGCTTCGGCTCGAGACTGGTAGGTCCTGGGTTCGAATCTCGCTCGCGAGAGTGGGTTCGTGGATGCGCACTGCTGAGGAGTCCCATAATAGAACGAAACGGCCGTCCAGTGCTTCCAGATTTTCCACGGTGGTCTAGCTTCAATTGACTCATGATTTCAACTGTGAAAAATACTTAGAATATGATTCAAAAAGACAAAATGAAAAGGTATGAATGAAGCAATTCAAGATCTAAATGAAGATATAGAGTGAATACATCTGAGAGACTGGAATTGATTCTAAGACTTATCATCCAATATCTCTAACCATTGATTCTGTTTATCGCGTAGAGTACAATCAAATAATTAGCATCTACCAACACCGCTCAACTTAACACTTGATGACCCAATGGTCTAATGTCATTTCTTAGTTTGGCCACCCTTAGTTTTCTTCCAACCTATATCTACACCAGTAAAAATTGCTTATCGAGGTAGGAATTGGTCAGTCATGCATAACACATGCCCCAACCATCTTTGTCGATGAAAATGAATATCAACATTGGGATATAAATATATAAATCTAAACGAGTAATGAATAAGATAGAAAATATATCTTACCTTGAACTTCTTACCATAATCCAACTTAAATAAACGATAGACAGTTCAAATGTTGAAACTATAATAAAGTACTTAATTGAAGTTTTTAACCAACCTCTTATATATATAACTTCACCCTTCATTTAAAACTTTACCAACATCATTTTTATACCTGGAAAAAATTTTTCTCTTCTCTGATAGACAATCTGTTCATAAATGGTTGATCACTGAGTAGGGATCAATATCATATTTGTCTAGTCCCTTAATGCTAATCGAATTCTATCGACTAAGCTGGAATCAATTCTAAATACATCTTAATCCTATTGGAGGTCAGATAAGGTCAGAATAACTCGTTGATAACATCTAGGATTATGAAATTCAGTAACTCAGGTACGAACTCCACATAGAATATCAGATTTCTGAAGAATACAGATACCCCTTGCTAACAAGAACTAAATGACATAAAATCTATGTCATATAGAGTTTCTTTTCGACCACTTTTAATCAGTTAATAAACAGTTCACTCGTTAAATTTTCAAACAGGGATTAATATTTTAAAAAATAATTAAACTTAATGTACCGTATGGTAGATATGGAGGGAATTGTGATCAAAACACCAAATAGATTCCCTCAAATCATCTACAAACATTCTCGTTCCTTCCTTAGTTAAATAATTTTTTTATAAAAAAACAGAAAAGGAAATAACTCATAATTACTGTTAATTACAACAAACGAGATTTATAAGCAAAGATGGATTGTGGCTAGCAGTGAAATACAGGAGGCTCGTTTCGTCGTATTTGGAACTCATCAGCTGCGTGTATATTTTATTCCAATTATCTACCATTTAATTTCATGATTTGTAACAGCATTATATACGTTTGTGTTGTGATTTAATTGGAGGCCTGCTTGAACATCAGGACTACCTGTTACTGTCATCTAGATATTTCAACAAGTTATCTGTATTTGCCTAAATTAACACATTATTATTTTTATTAATCGAATAACCTATTAGGGTGAGTCTATGAAGAGTTTACTACCTTCTTCTTTACAAGTTACAAAAAAGCCTAATCACAGATAACGTGGTTGCTGGCAATATGCAACGAAAAGAATGTGCATTATTTAGATGCCGACTGACTCGACAGTCATCTTCTAACTGGCGATGACCCAATATTTGTCGTCAGGATCGACCAAGAAGTAAGAATTGGAAACTCGTTGAAATTGTGCTAAGAATTCTATATTGCACCAAAAATATAATATTGAATAAAGCCATTAGTAATAATATTAATATTAGTAATAATATTGATCACGATACTGATTACTGCTACCAGTATTGCTGGTCGGCGGCCTATGCTCCATTGGGAGTAACAAGCGTAAATAAGTAAGTGATAATTACAATGGAATGAGATTATTATCCTAATGCAAAGAAGAAAATGCTACTTTAAAAAAAGACGGATTTATTTACTAATCAGAAATTGAACAACATCCACAATAGAAATAATAAATTATAGATCAATTTAAATTTTCAATCGATCAATAAATTTAAATCAATAAAATGATCTGGCAGTTAATCAATAATTTAATGTATCAATAGAATTTACAAAATCAATAAATTAACTGACTTGATTGAGACAAATAATTCACTTTTGTAATATCTATTTGACTCCTTCCTAAACTTAGATTTTTAAATACATAATGTATGTGTAATATCCCAATGAGTAGAAAAATAGGATTTTCTGACGTTTCGAGACTCAATGTAAACCATTTCTTCAGATCAGAAATAACCAAATGAAAATAATAATTTTATTAAAAAAAAACTTTCGTCTCTCTTTTTCTCTTCTTCACTTCTTTTGTGAAATGAACATTCCACCGGTATGTCCTTTCTGTCACTAATTTTTTTTAAAGTATTTTTCCACTGTGAAAATTGAATTTCTATGTGGAATTTGAAATACACAAAAATGTCATTGATCAGTTTTTATTTTTCATTGTGATTTACTTAAAAGTACACCTATTTTTAAAGATGTTTTATTCAATTCAGTTTCCTCGACATATTCAGTTGGAGAAAAGAATTAGTGAGTTGGAATATGTATTGAAGTAAGACATGATAATATGTCTGATAACAAAGAGATTCGATGGGAAATTTGAAAAATGAACTTCTGTGTACCTAGATAACTAACTAAATAACATGGTACATGTTCTATATCTGGAACATAGATCAGAAAGAAATATTATGGAAAAGTTATTTGATTAATAATTTATATGGATGGTGCCGTTGTTTTTATTTTCAGTTGAATTTTGATCAGTTTTTGAGTCACAAATACTATTTACGTTCTCTATTCAACAAGAAAGTACAAATATTGTGGAATAGTTTATTTATTTATTTATCGTATAGTTAATCTAGAGAACACATATTTCCAAAGAAATAGTTTAATAACATCTGTATACTACTTTGAAATTAACCAGTAGTTCAAACATTTTTGAAAAATTAATTTACTTCTGTTACCAGCATCATGGCTCATTTTGTTTCTGACGTTGTGAATGCAATTAAATGAATATTTACAATCTTTGGGAAAATAATTTTTTCAGCAGGATTTAAATCTTATTTGCCCGGAAACTCAGTCAGTGAATTAACTACGACCTGTTGTAAGGCTATGACATTTACACTTGGAAGAGCAGATTATTGTTATGTATTACAACAAATATCACGGATTACAATGAAGTAACGCACGATGACCCAGAAGAGTACGTTATTCTTACTTTACTCTCTGAATAAGTGTTATTACCTTCAAAATTTAAATTCAGGAATAATTTATAAATAACTTTTAAACTACTGTTTAATACTTACATTACAAACCGATCTTAGTTAATCGACCATTGAAAACTAGGAAGCACTGAACAGATGTTTCGTCCTGGTGTGAAACTCGTCCGAAAAGTGTACATATAACCCCACCAAGGATGTAACCCAGGACTTTCGGCCTAACATTCAAATAATTAACCTTTAGATCACTGAGGAAAATTGGTAAAACATACTTCAGTTACTCTCCAAACTGATCCATTTAGTAGAACGTTTACAAAAATTACACCAACTTATTTATTTAATGCAAATATAAATCCTATCGACAATCAATACTTTATTTTTTCTAATTAACACCTGATAAGATTTTGGAGAGTTACACACATCCAAAATCATAATGTTCTATAATTTAATTCATTAACAAATGGACTGGATCGAGTCCAAGCATACATCACTGAATAGTCTCGAATCAGAGTGAAATACCCATTCAATTACCCCTATTAAATAATTTAGTTCATAAAGAGAAATATGTTCACACTGAACAGATATCCACTAACCGGATAAGGAGTACTAACGGAATTCAATGTATTATGATTTAAAATAAATAAATGCTCGTACATATTACTATATAATCTGATATCTTTTATTAATGTATAGAATGAATTGTATGCATACAATCCACTACAAATTTTATTAGCTTGTGGGTATCTTGTAAACTGAGAATAAATAATCTAAGGAAGAGTCAGCAAAATGATTTATTCCTAATAAAATAAAATTAGTTGTTATTTGTTACCTAGACTATTGACACTGTTCCACAGACTCTTTGTCAAATAATTACTATTGATTAACTTTAGGAAGTAAATACCAAAGTGAGAAACTGTAACCATTTCAGCAATGTCGAGAGTGAGATATAGGTGACCAATGACAACAGACGATGATCCGGTAATAATCATGAATCGACTCAGATTGTATATATAAACCATGAGTTGCCAACTCAGTGTTCTGAAAATTGGGTGATCACCATGAGTTCTGAAAGTCCTAATTTCGATCACTAATAAAGATATCAATCCCTAAAACCAACGATTTCCATAAATGCACATAATAGTTGTTGTGTGCTGTCTTATTTTTAATATTTGTCTAATTGAAGTCAGTCTGTAATGTGAAATTACTAAAAAAAAAACAACTAACATTATAAACACGTAATTCATCTTGGCATTTACCACAGGTAACATAAATGTTACTTCATAGTAAACATATTTCCGTGTTTGTATGTTTAAACGTTTATTAGACTATCAAGACGACAATGTATGTAGTTGTAAGTGTATTTCTTATCTAATAATTTCAAGAATTTAAGAGATATTTACAGTGTAAAATTATTCTTTCAACTGTCTTTCAAATTGATTTTGTCAAGGTAAAATTGGGTAACTATAAAATAGCCTTGAAAATTTAAATCAATAGAAAATTTGCACGGATATTTTTAAATGCTTGATTGCTAGTTGAGATCATGAGTCAATTGAAGATAGACCACCATGAGAAACCTTGAAGCACTGGACAGCCGTCTCGTCCCATTGTGGAACTCCTCAGCAGTGTGCATCCACAATCCTGCGTCGCCAGATTCAAACCCAGGACCTATCAGTCTCGCGCTCTAACGTTTAAACTCTAGACCGCTGAGCCGGTCGGCATCCAACGGTGTTAATTTCTAACTTCAATTAATCCACAAAATTGAGCGACACATCCACCATTGTCTTCAGTGAATTACCATCTCACAACAGACCCGATAGAACTCCACTGGTCACTGCTTCTCACTAGAACTCACGGAAGTACCTCTTGAAGCTAGTCACTAGTGAGCATATGTTGATTAAGGTCATTCAGTGATGTAAACTATAAAATTCGATAGTTCACACTAACCCTCTACACTTACATGAATGCTGAAGAATATACGAGAGATTCTTTCAGAACTAATTATTTTAACCCACTGTAAGTATATCCCCGCTGTGACTTACAACCGGCATACCTTATGTAACTTAATGCTGCTTGAGAACAAAGTATAATTATTGAAGATTTAAGGTGGTGTTTGGAGGCAGTCGACAGGAATTACTGGACCTAATTTTGATGCTATTTGGCACTCGTCAGCAAGATATACCTGTAGTCTTTAAGAACCTGATACTCTATGGCTGATTCAATCCAGCTTAACTGTCAAAGATATCACCACTGTGCTTACTGAGTAGCGACTGACTTCCTGTAGGACTGAGATGTTAGGCCGGATGACAGGGAAATGGATTCACCGAGCAGCAACAGTTTCCCCAATATTACTTTACCCCTTGCTAGCGAGTATCAAATGACATGAAACCTAAATCCAGAGTTTCCTGTCTTCTACATTCCATCACCAGCTGACATCTCAACTTGGTGCAAGTGATGTCGAGTTACTTATAGCAGTGACACATTGAAACTTGACCGGCGTCATTCTATCGGCACTAAGAAAGAATTGACATACATCGCATTGGTCACTACTGGATGATTAACCGATTGTAAATGTTATTATCATTATTGTTAACATTATTTTTCATACTAATCTTATTTTTTAGACAACCAAACATGTATGAACAAATACCACGAAAAATTTGTCTACATTGTTACCGATCAGATTCCTTTCAATTTTCGTAAAAGTCCTTTTTCATTTTAACTGATCGCTTATGTAATATGGTAACGCGAACCTACCTAGAAATCAATAATGATGGTTATACCTATAAGCAACCTGTATCATACTTCACACCGAATTCACAAAATTTCCAACGACAATGGAAAAGTCATCAGAATTTACATGAATCACGCTTGCTTAATCGTCATGTGTCCGATCAGTACATTACCATACCAACAACACGTTTAAATAATGATTCCCATAAAAATGTAAAGGGATGTTGTAATATTACTTTAAGTATTAATAATAATAATAATAATAACAGTCACTGTAATAGCAATTATAGTATTAATAGTGCAAACAACAATTGTCTGCAACAAAATTTTCACAAGCCTCCATTAGATGTATATAACAACATAAATAATCGTCGCCTAGAACTAAAAGAAAACCCCTCTACCATGAGGTTCGGTGAAAAATTACGTTCTACATCCCTGCCACCACTATCACTTCCTATAAATTATTTTACTTCCCAAAAATCAATAATTGCCAATACTGGCCACACCACACCGTCATTGGTCAATCAGATGTGTCATAAATTCTCCTCCACCTCCGCATGTCAACATAGTGGTGCAGATTGGGAAGATTGCCGTATTAGCATAGATTGTTTTGGTATTAAAGGAAAACACTGTAAATCAATAAGGCACCTACACAAAAATCACAGTTATAAATCAGCACCGCAAACGTATTTATTATCATCAACACATATTGGTAACACACAGAATGGGTTGAATGATAAATACTTGCTCCCTTTGCCAATAAGGACACCTTCTATTCATTTAGAAAATAAAAAGTTAAATAAAACATCCCAATCAATAAGACCGCATAGTTTATGCGCTAGATCTGTCCGTCTATCAATTATACCATTGAATCCAATCTACAAAAGATCACCATCACTAGGAAGAAGAAAACTGTGTTTACCAAATCACAATAGTCAGTCGATAAGAACAGGATCAACTAGAAACACACCTTGGATTAATTCATTTGATTTACGTAATTGTCAAACAGTTCTCCGTAATTGCTGGCGTAAAAATTTAATTCAAAGAATGGTAAGTTTATCATTTTATATTCTGATCGTTACAGTTATTCATTTGTGTTTGTTTATTTATTTCATTTATTCGAACACGTAAATATTGGGACAAAGGGGCCACACAAGTCACTTGATTTGTATCTGGGTTATGATACTGACAGGGTGCCCAAACCGAAGAACGTGGATTTCTTAGGGAACCACACCAGGAGACTTTGATATAAAGGTCTGATCCACAAGCCAGTGGAGCAACGTCAGATGCAGTTCCATGGTAGCCGATGACCAATAATAGGTTCATACGCCATTAGTTCCCTCAGGATCCTGTAGCCCATGTACACCAGTGGTTTGCAATCAGTGTTATCCAACTTCCCTAGGTGAACCCTCCGTGTCCAGCAATCCTGTTAAAGCACCGGACATTCGCTTTTTGTCCTCCCAATTTCGCAAACAAAAGTGATGATGCAAGAAGGCAGTGAGTAGGACTTCCCTGACAGTGGCTCTATACAAGTGGCCAAATAAGAGTATTTTGAGAGGCAAAACTGACTCTCCCTTCTCTCGACCGTATCAAAGCATTTGAGGGTAAAATGGAGGTGTTGTTCACAGAGAGAATTCGAACAGAGGACCTTCTGCATCGTGCATCTAACTGTCTTTAATGAAATTTTTATGCATTAAAGATAGATCATTATTTCATTATTCTATTTTGGTTTAAAATATCTTATGAAATATATTTCAATGTCAATACATAATAAAAGTAACTATTTTGTTCGTCAACGGAGTAGGAAGCTAGAAATTTTTAAACTTAATAATAATAAGATTGAAAATAAAAAACAATGCTAACATAATAGATTCAATAGAAACAAGAGAACTTGAGTAAACTGAGTTGGGAAAAATTCTCATATAGTTCTGTAAACTGATGTAAAAGTTCAAATCACAGAGAACAATAAGCAAAGTGGTAGCCAAAGTTGAAAATGAAAATAACCATTGAATCACCATAAATGAATTAATCAAGTCACTATATTAGATTTATCATGGAAAATATGTTGTACAGATACAGTACGTACAAGGTGTACCACACACTCCTTAACAAAGTCTTTTTTCTTCGTGTACTAGATTCTACTAAATAGGTCGAATAATACAAGCATACTAACGGACATTGAAATCCTATTTTTCCATACAGGGAATAATTGTTTAATTAGTATTTAACTACTAACGAGTAGTATAAGATTATATTCATATTATTTGTATACGTCTGTTCCTATTCCACTACTTCAGAGAAGTGGCTTACACTGAGTCACGAAACGTCAGAAAATCTAATTTTTCTACTCATTGGGATATTACAAATATATTATCTATTTAAAAGTAGTAAATGTTTTAAGTTGTACCTTTTAAAGATTGCAATAATGAAATTCAATTAATTAGTATCCTCTGCAAGATATTTCGCTTATTCATCTATATTCATCGTTTAGTGGCAATAATAATTTTAAATAACTATTTTGATTAATTATGTTATTTGTAAGCGATTTCCACAAGGCGTCGATATCCTCTGGGTAATCATTGGAAAATGTAGAACATTGAACAACTATTGTTAGATATTGAGCTTCCCAACAATGAATAATCATGATTAGTGATGTCACATGGAATCGAATCTATGACGTTCATATCTCATTAAAGATAACAAACGTTAAGACTAGTGAGAGGCAATCTAATAGTCCACATTTGTAAATCTAGTCAATCAGTAATTCAGATCCTGTTTAATTAAATATCATAATTGAGTTGCTAATACTTCACCCAGGACTTAATTGACCCTACAAATCTTAGCTTACAATTAGTACTTTGATAAATGCATCTGATGACTAGTCATCATGTTGGTTTATTTATTTGTATTTCATTTAGGCTTTCAAAATTGATGATTTTACAATCCAAGAAGATCAAGTAAAAGGTAAAATATCAGTTACCCCTGTTTTATTCATTATTGCTTTTCACTTTGATTTGTATAGATTTTCGTCGTACAGTTTTAATTTATTCATTGTACTCATTTATCATTTAACTCATTTACCAGTTATAGACTTATTTACTTGGCTTCTGGCCACACTCCAAGTGTGAGAGTTAGTAGTGATACAACCACTTTCCTTGAACGGACATAATTGAAGGGGGGTTTGAACATGAGATTTATTCATTAAAAGTAGAACCCCTTGATCGTTAAGTCACCACATTCAATCCGTAATTTCTTAAACGATCAGCCGAACTACAGAAAACTATTCCTACCTAAATTTTAAACCCATTTAAATCTCCAAGTTTTGACGTCAATGATATATCTTCTAGTCGTAATATAGAACAAGAGAATTAAAATTATTGAGTGAAAACCGATAAGGAAATTTCAAAGTTCATTTCTCTAAGTACTAGATCTATTACCAATCATAAAATCATCACCATATATATTAGTGATTCCCAGTAATCTAAGATGAAGTTAGATTTCGTCATCTGTACACTTTTAAGAATAAATAGAGGTTGTTGATTTGCAATTCATTCCGGACTCGATAAAACTGATCAGAATAAGAGAAAATAAGTGTCGATGGAAACCTAATTGGTTTTTTATCCTTGTTCAGATATATTTCATTGAAATACCTTCATGTACATCTTCATCTGGAATTTACTTCCTTCATTATCCCAATTTATGTAAACACATGATTCTTAAATGCTTACCAACTTACTTAATCCTGATACCTTTATTAGGAAATAGGCTACCGACCACGGATCTCCAACCAACACTGTCTTGAGTTCTCCTTTCCAGTTGATGCCAAATGCTGTTCACCATCTTCATATCTGCCTCTTATTTCCCGGTGTAATGTGTTCTCTGATCTGCCTCTTTCCTTTTGCCTTGTGATGCAGTTTGATGGTTTCCTCATGGTGTGACCTATCTAGCTCCGGTGTCTTTCCCAATTTTCTCCTAATCTGAGACCTAATTTACCCCTCTGCCTTAGTAGGTTATTCCTGATGGTCTTTGGCCAACAGATCTGACGTATCTTGAGTAGACAGCTTTTTATAACTACTTGTACTTTTTTGCTGACGGTTATGGTAATTCTCTAAGTTTCATGTCTCTTCAACATCACTATCTTAACGTCAGTGTTGAAAATTATAACTTTACTGCTGGCTGACAGTCCTTTCTAGTTCCATATATTCTTCAGTTGTAGTAATGTATATACGTGTACTTGTTCTATTTTCTGTGATACTTCTATCTTTTTTTTTCCAGTTGCCAAAGATGTTTTCAAACGTTTTGACAAAAGAGGACAAGAAAAAATTAGCACCACTGATTTAGGTCCAGCTTTTCGTGCACTTAATCTTACTGTTAAACCCGACACTTTGAAAGAATGGGCTGATCAGGTCGATGACGATGGTAAGAATTTTAAAGTATTTACATGTAGATGTCTATTACTAATAATCTTATCAGTAGTGATGTCAACACATTCGTTTCTTTTCAACAGAATGCATCCATTTAATCATTCATTAGTACATCTGAATATACATCTAAGTGATAATTGTCTTCGTCACTAGATACGTCGTATGAATGAACTTAGATTTAAGTATTAAACAGTAATTTGATTAATGTAGCTAGTTAAGAAGAAAACAATCTGTTCTTTCATATGTCAAGAGAAATTATTTTTCTGGTAAAAAGATCCTTCTAACAATAAAAAGCAATAACGATCAATCAAGATGAAAAAAGAATTCTAGCTTAGCTAAGGAATAGTATTAAGTGAGCAAATATGGAGTTAACAACAAACTAAGTGATAAATATTTGGCTTGGTGTTTGTTTAGGTTTAGTCATGTTAATATATGAAGATAATTACCAACACAATAAGAACAAATGTTATCCAATAGTTCCCTATCATCATTCAGTGCATCCAAGATTTAGAATGCAAACAAATACAACAGAAATTTAAAGCAATTAGTCCCTTTGATAAATTTCGATAATGTAATAAGAAGACGAAGATTATCAGAATTATGTAAATTGAGCTTAGTTCTTATAATCTTCGTCTTCTTATTACATTATCGAAAAATACAATAGAATTGATAATATAAAAGCTCAAAACAAGAATAATTCCATGAAATTGAACTCATGAGTGTCAACATCAAAATGACCTGTATTAAATCCAAATTAAAGTGCTTGTAACTTGAGGCAATACCGAGGCTATCCGTAGAGGATGCACACATGCCAATAAGGAACTGATCACTTGAAGTCTTAAACATCAATATGAAGATTTAAATAAGCAATACAAAATGAAGTTTTCTTCTTCTGTTGCATTTTTTCTTCCATCATGACTGACTGCGCTCTACTTGACACGTTCGTAGTATGATGGAGTGGTAGTTTCGACGTGGGAAACTCCACATTTTTCCATGTAGGCTAGTAAAAACGATAGAGAATAAAACACACCCTCAATCATGAAATACGATGGTGTCAGGTGCAGGGTCGAAATTGCGAACTGTTAAATTATGTCAAGCAAGTACATTGTTCGTTTTTTTTTTTACACAAAAAACATGGGATAGAAAATATGCACTTAAACAGTCAGTTTTTAAATTATCGATCTATCCACAATCTTTACAATACCCCCCTCTGATGATAATGATCTATCTTTAATCTATTCTTCCTTTTATATTGTTTTGTGATTGGTTAATTATGATATTGATCAATACATATTACCACTTACAATAAGCCAGTTGAAATGTAGTTATGTAGTTATGTAGTTATCTGACTAAGTAGGTAGGTAAAGAGGCCAGACTAGAATGTTAAAAAAGGGTTATAGAATTGTGATCTTATTATCCATTAGAAATGTGGGTCATAATTTAAGCTACAATTATATTTATTTTGTATGAAGATAGTTACCCTTTTTCAATATTCAGTAATTATACAATAATCAGGAGGGGTTTTGTGGAGATTTCAGTATTTTCATAGTTGAAATCTCGCGAGGCGAGATCGTGAATGCGCACTGCTGAGGAGTCCCACAATAGGACGAAACGGCCGTCCAGTGCTTCCAGGTTTTCAGTGGTGGTATAGTTTCAATTGACTCATGATTTCAACTATGAAAATCATACAATATCCAATATTTTTGAATATTGTTTTGTTTATTTACTATTGCATAAAAGACTATAATTTTCACCGGGGACTTCATTTTAACTATTTGAAGTTATCTATGTACATATGAAGCATTCCAACTTGTCGGATGAAAGAAGATAAATGTAGTGAAAGCTAGAGCTTGGAATGAAATCCACAGTGAAAATTATTCTCTTATATACATCACTCACTCATTAAATAAATGGAAAATTGTTAGATATTTCACACATATTAAACATGGAGAGGTAGATACTCTACAAGATCACAGACATGTTTCCTGTCTTTTAATGAGAATAGTCGGGAAAATGTTCATTCAGGTTACACAAGCCCTTAATCTGTAATCTAACAGATCTTTCAACCTCACATCCCTTCTCATTATAAATTATTAATTACCATCTTCCGACTGCAATTATTACTTTCTAATCTACACTATATACTGGAGGCGTTAAGGAATTTACATAAAATAATGTCTAATAATGTTTAGGCTAATCAGCATTGAGGCTAATGACGAAGGTAACAGATATAGGTCTGTCTCTGGATAATGAGTTTGAACCATAACACTTAAATGTTAAATATAAAGGAGAAAGTTATTTTTGTATTTGAACTTATTCAGTTCTTTTTTAAGTATCTAAATGATCAATAATTGATCAATTTCATCATCAGTTCAGCTCCTTCGAACTGACTACATTTTCTATGTTAATAACATATCTACAGTCAATCAATGTTATCATTGTCTAACCATTTTATTTGAATCCCATAAAGAATACTAGTTCTCTCAATAGTCCAGGTACGGTCTTCCAGCTGTGTATCTTGTCGACAATTTTCAACTACTTAATAGAATATCTACATATAAATTAAGGATTGGACAGAAAATAGACTAATATACAACATAAAAATGAAAATTATTTGGAGACTTACTTTTTAAATTACCACAGTATAAATGAATTATAAAATAGTGAATAACAAAAACCTGCTGAGAAATATAATAAGTCACATTAGAAACCATCTTAGTGAATGTTATTACTGACTTGAGTTTATTTGTATTTATAAGTAGACAAAAGCTGATTTATGACTAATAGTGAATAGCAATTGCATCAGCCGTCTGCAGTATTCTCAGTCTGACGGAATTAGGTAGACTGCTGTTAACACGACATATTATTGTGAAAGATTGCTCCATGTTAGCTCTATGTCCCGTCTAAACTAAATGGGATAAAATGGAGCTGTTAACCGTTTTGACTACACCTTTTCTCAACCACACTGGGAGGTGCTCACGAGCCCGAGTATACAAATTCCTAGAACATCTGCCTATATAACTTGCACCACAGGAGCAGTTGAATTGAAAGATACAGAAAGAAGTGGCTAGTCTAGGCAATTTAATATCTCTAATATCTTATTCTAACACTTTTTTTTATTGACTCCATATATATTAAATTGATGTTGCATGTAACTTTATAAAACTTTGTTTAGTGAGCTGACGATAAGTTTATATATACTGACCAACTTTTAGAAAAGATCTAGATAAATTGGTGAGTTTATAATTTATGAACGAACCAATCAGATATAAGATAATGAGTCTTGGATTTTGACGCGAAATTCATTCACCTATTTGGCTAAATAGTTTTAGCATTTTAACTTATGTCAGTTCATGATTAGAACCCTAAATCTAATTTCTAACCGTAATCATCAACTGTAAATCAAACTTCTCGTTACTCACACTGATTTGTAACCGTCATTTAGTCTTAGTTAGCGGATGGACATTCTGAAGGCCACTTTAGCGTCACTAAATGGTTGTTCATAAAGTAAAGTTTCACTGATAAATTTTCTAAATCATCTCTAGCCTGTACATGAATGACACTAATAGCACTGAACTGAACTCAACTAAGGATTTAATAAAATAATATGTTGAAGTTACACAAAGCTGATTTTTTATCAGTTCGATAGAATATGAAGTAATCCAATTGTGGAGAGATTCAAGTAGTTTACTTCTCTTTTAAGTGTATGCGGATGATATTGTTCAAAAGAATGATAAAAGCTTCACAACTAAACTATACAGATCAGAAAACGCAATATATTCAATGAATTCTCTATTGTATAAAAACAGTGATGATATTTAGTTTTTAAATTTTAACCTCTCTAGGATACTGGATTTCATCAATTCATATCTCATAGAAAATGAAAGATAGTCTCTTAAAGGTTGATAAGTATTGTCTACATAAATCAAACTGTTGACTCTTTACCAATATCTTTACACTATTCAATAATCCAAACCTTTATATGCAGCTACGATTTCCTGTCATTATTTTACAGAATTTTTTAATTGTTATTTCTTTTTTCCTTATCCCTTTATCCAGCAACTGGATTCATTGATTTCAATGGATTTCTAATATGTTATGGAAAGAAACTTCAAGAAGATCAAGATGAAAGAGATTTAAGAGATGCATTCCGAGTTTTGGACAAAAATAAACGTGGAGAAATTGATGTCGAAGATTTAAGGTAAATTCAGACTCTCGATAATTTCACTCTTGTTTCAAACATTCATCATACTTATTTAATTGGATTTTTTTCAAATGAACTTCTAGTTACAGATAATTACTTGATATTGTAGCCAGTGAGCATAAAGATGACTATATAATCCGATGAATATCTTCTACATGTGCCTATCTTAATAGCCCGGTAATATCACCAGCCTGACCTCAACACAAAATAAAAGCGACTCTAACATCAGTATGGGGTCTAATATATCGAACACTAGAGATTATTAAGCAGTTTGACTGGAAAGGAAATTATATTCTGTTGGTTATTTACTACAATGTGTGATGTGTGGGATCGAAAAATAACAACTTCATTAGAATTTATAAAGGGACCAGTTACGTAATTTATTATCACACCTAACAGTCCAACTTCAGTGCGGTCGTAAGCGCATAGTTTTATATATGCATGTAAGCTACTCATAAGTAGCACGAAATGATTAAAACATTTGTTTGCATTAATTTTTTGATTCCATATTTCTCACAGATGGATATTAAAAGGTCTAGGCGATGATCTTACTGAAGAAGAAATAGATGACATGATTCGAGATACTGATACCGATGGGTCAGGATTTGTCGATTTTGATGGTAAGTTTATTCGTTTATATGTTGGAATATTAAAGACTCCCATCGTGAAAAGTAAAACAACACATATAGGCGAACAATTGTTTTCTCTAATACACGTGAATATTTATAAATACATTAGAGTAAAGCCTGATGACGATCTAGTTGAAAACAATTTTTCGCTTGCATGTGTTTTTCTAATTTATATATTGTTTGTTTGGGTCTACACATTGATGTTGAGGATTCCAATTGATCATTCTCTTATTGGCATATGTGCATCCTGTACTGATTGTCTGGAAATACCCATTCAGTCACAAAAAATTTTAATGGAGACGAATGGTAGCTAGCTGTAAAGCCCGAGACGTGCGTTTCATCCTACTTGGGATTCGTTATTTGTATATACCTACTGCATTCGAATTAATGTTCACCCCGGGACTTGGACCCAGTGTCGTTCACACAATTACTCAAATCTGGTATTTTTCACTCTAAACCGTCATAGGTTATTCATTAAGCCCATTAACTTGTTCTAATTAGATAAAGTTCGAATACAGTTCGAATAATCTCTGTATGGATACATAAAACTGAATTTTATTTAGTCTTTGTTTTCATGTGTATGTGTGTGTATCTTGAGCATATTGTTGCCTTAATACTAAAATTTGGTTGTGAAAAAAACACAGTTTATCATTTACTATTCATGTTTATTTTCGCCGCCAAAATTAACCTATCTATTATGGCTTCTTGTCTTGTATTATATATCACGAGATAATATCGCCAATTAGAGACATCAACTTATACGACCAGACCAATGACTCATAAAACCCGTAAACAGCCTAAAGTTCTTATTGATCCTTTGCGATAGTAGCTTCTCGCCTAAATCATCTGGTTGAATACAGAACGCAAATATCGGCCTCCGTTATATGAATCACATATTTCACACATACTGGGTTTATATACAAGTAAATCAGATCGTATCATACCATACAATAGAAAATAACAACTAGACACGATCAAACCGAAAATTGGCTGTGATTGTGAGAGACTATAGCTAATAAGTGGGAGAATATCTCAAGAATAGTAAATTGTAAAATAGTAGTCAATGGATCAAACGGAAGCTTGTGACAAAATGAATATGAATATACTGTAAACGCGATACTGGCGATCCCAGAGTCTATGTGAAAGCTATAGTCAAAACAAGGACAACTTGGCTTTAAACTTTATCTGTTTCTGAACATAAAAACAATTAGATTAGTACAATAATTAAAGAATTACAGTCATTAAGTGAAACGCACAAACATACCGACCAGTATTGCGTGTCTTAATAAAATGAATAAATTTATGAGTCACACTAATATAATAGGATAATAATGTCTTTCAGTTGGTAAGTCGCATGCAACAGGGATAGTTTACAGACATATCAGATCAGATTGACGTGGTGGGAGCTTAAGCAACGATTTGATTGATTAGTTATGGACATAATTAACATTCCCCCTCAAGCGGACACCACGTCCAGACTTCATTACTGTCGCGTCTATATAATCGGCTTCTCCAAAGAGACAGGTTCCGTATATCCCGGCTGATCTCTTCAGTTGCTGTCTTCAGTCGAACTGTTCTGACTCGTCCATTTGGACCATAATTGACCCGTCTAACTATAGCTTTCGGCCTTAGATTCCTCGGTGAACCAATATTGTTTACTAACACTAAATCCCCTGGTTGTAAATTCCTCCTCATGTCCAACCACTTGGATCTCGCCTGAAGGGTTGGTAGGTACTTCCGTAACCATCTGTTTCAGAATAGGTTGGCTAGTTGTTGAGCTTCCTTCAATTTCCCGTTATATAAGCACGTTTTACTCATCTGCGCTTCGTCGAATGATACACCTCTGTAAACTAACAATAACTTATTTGGCGTAAGTACATCCAGGTCATCACAGTCGTTAACTAGCTTTACGAATGGTCGATTGTTCATTATCCCTTCAATCTCTATTAAAAACATCTCCAAAGACTCGCCCGTCAATACCTTTCGAAACAATAGTGATTGTAGAATCCTTCTTATCGACTTTATAATGCGTCCCCATACACTGCCTCGATGACTAGCTCTAGGAAGTTTAAAACGCCATTCACAACCTCTTTCTAAAAGAGCATTTGCTAACTTATTCTGGTTCCAACTACACATAATCTGTCTACGATTAGCACTGGCTTTTTTAAATTTATCAGAACCATCCTTACTCTTATTCACAACTCGCACAAAGGCGTTCTTCCCAACACTATGTACAATACCACGGCGAATATGTGCTGTCTGCTTTTTCACGGTCTTATTTACTGACTTCTTTGTTAAAGTGACCTTTGGCTTTTTCGGTATCTTCACTTTCGGCTTGGTGACCTTCCTTTTCTTAGGCTTTCTTAGAGTTGTTTTGGGATTATGATCACATGGTGCTTTTATTTTTGGCTTAGCAACCCTGGACTTGGCTAATAAAAAGGAACGATGAACTTGACGCGAGACATCTTTAAAACGAGCATACGCCACAACACCATATGCAAATTTTGTGGCGTCGACAAAGCGATAAGTCTGAGTAGTTAGTGGTTTGTATAATCCTAGACATCTGGGAAGCAACAGTTTACTTAAGCGCTTCATACCTCTGAGCATACAGTTCCATCCTATAAAGCACTCCCTAGGAAGCTCTTCGTTGCATGGAAGATTTAGCCGACAAGCATCTTGCGAAATTAATTTAGCTGGTAAAACAATTGGAGCTATAAACCCATCCGGGTCGAATATAGATGCTACATACGACAAAATGGTTTTCCTTGCAGGAGTCACATCCAACTTGCACATCCTGAAGATCTTATCCGTTCGAACATTCCACTTTTTTCCTAGAATCCTTTCATTTTCTTCCACAGATAAACAAATATCTACGTTCCTGTCTATATGGTCTACCTTTGAAATAAACTTTATTAATTCAACATTGTTGCTGGCCCACGTGGTTAGATTAAAACTCCCTAAATGTAACATTTCCTTCAGCTGAGAATATACTAACTTAGGATCTTCTAACGTATCAACACTGGTTAATAAATCATCAACGTAGAACTTTTCCTTCGCTGTCTGTATTATGCATTCAGGAAATCTAGCCTCTTTACCTAGGATAGTCCTTTGTAGAGCAAACGTTGCGCAACTTGGCGATGAGATCGCACCAGACAAATGTACTTTCACTTTACAGGTTTCTGGTCCATCTTTAGACGATAAATGATTTATAATACTCACATTGCTCGTGGTCTCGCTGTAAGGTCCAAACAACGTCCACCCTAAAGCAGTTTTTATAGCGTATGGTTCATTAGATTTTCCCATTCTCTTCTCTTTTATCTCGTGTACGCCCGGTGCGTTACATCCAATCAACAGTTTGACATTCTCGTCTTCTACTCTCGGAAAACTTGTGTCTTTTAAATGAGACCAAGATACCATTTGATGCACCGTTGGCACAGTCCTGTAAACCGCCGGTAGTTTTTAAACAGTCAACACTTTCAGCACCTTAACAGATGATGAAAAATCTATCGAGTGCAACTCTACATCGACCTCCTTGGATATCAATGATGATTCATTACTAAGAGTCTTTAAAGACACCATTTTCGGTTTTCCCTCGAGGCCTAACTCATCAGCCAGATCATCAACAATGAGAGAGGTATCTGATCCGCTATCTAAAAAGGCGCAAGTCTGAATAATCTTCTCACCATTTTTTATCCATACAGGCACTACTGCAAATGCTACTGGTCTCTGCATACGCTTAACACTTCCCTCCGTACAGAAATGAGTATTAATGCAAGCATCACTATCGCTATCTCTCTGTTCTCCCTGCTTCCTATGTAACAAGGTATGGTGTCTCCAACCACATCCTTTGACGGTACATGATCTTGGTGCTCGACAGTTTCTTGCTATATGGTTCGCCTTCAGACAGACATTACATAACTTCTTCCTTAATACAAATTCTATTCTTTCACTGACATCTTTATCTCTAAACCTTTCACATTGGTCCAATGGATGGTTCCCAGTACATAATAAACATGATAACCCAAGAGTTCTTGGTCCTACGTGTGGGGAGACATCAGACAAACTCGCGTTAGCAAAGACACTCTCGCTTTGTACTGTGAGTCAAGGGGCTTTTTTGTAACGGTAACCGATTGCCTTTGGTTGCGGTTAGAAAGATCACCACTGACAAGTAATCCATACCTAGTATTAGCAATGTCTGATTGCTCTTTCACAAATTCACAAAGGTCCTTGAATAAAGGCTCTCTACCTGTCTTAAGAATCCTAGATGCAACCTTAACCCATTCTCTCTGTAAATGCAGTGGGAGTTTTAAGAACATACACTCGATGGTCTTTGTAGAATTAAGATCGGATACATAGTCCATCTGCGTAAGTGTGAGCTCACAAACATGCATCTCACGAGACAGTCTTCTTAAACCATCTGGATCAGTCCCCTTAATAGCAGGGATATTCAGCATCTTATCAATAAATGCATGGGCCACGATGTGCTTCTGACCAAGTGCTTCTTCGAGAAGCTCTACCGCCTTTCGATAGCCTTCTTCTGGCTCAAGCAATGCACAGTGAACAATGGTAGCCTTAGCTTCACCATCACAATACTGAATCAAATAGTTTAACCTAGATCGGAATCCAACTCTTTCGTCAAAACAGTCTTCGAAATTTCGTATGAAACTCCAATAGTTCATGGGATTACCATCAAACCTTATAATCTCTCTATTTGGTAGGTCTAAAGCTCTAGATATCATTGTTATCCAGTCTTTTCCAGGAGGAATATCAACTGCAGATGAGGCAAATGTAGACTTATACATCATCTTGTCAGCCATAACTTGATTATAATGTTCTCTTCCTTCTTGACGTAACTGTTCTAACTCAATTTCTCTTTCTGTCTGAGCCAAGCGTATTTTGACTAACTCTAACTCTAACAAGGGATCCATTCTACAGCTATTTCCTCCAAACTGATCATCATTATGGGTTTCCGAATAGTTGGGAGACAATTCAGGAATCTGATCCGTTTTATGATTCTCCATCGACATTTAACAGTACTCAATGTGTGAATTTTTGATGAGATACTGGTCGAAACTATGTAGGATTTATTTTGTCCTACATATACATCTAATATAGTTAATTAATAGTTATACAATAAGAATATATAATAACAGACCACTGAGCCGGTTGGAATCCGATGGTGTTTAAGTCTAACTCCAACCAATCCACTACTATCAATATGAGATTATAATTGTATTTTTGAATTCTTTTCTAATTATTAGTATTATCTGTTTGTTTGTTTGTTTGTTTATATATTTTAGAATTCTATAAATTAATGACATCTGAATAGAATTTACAATTTCACTTCAATGAACACAAGTGGAAAAGAATATCAAATTTACTCAAAATTGCATTTCATTTAACTTTTTTCTCTTGTAACATATTACTATTATCATTATTACGCAACCACAATGCTTCTTGATCAGTTAGTGAAATGCCTTATTGGACAGTCTTAGTTTCATCAATGATGCATCGATCGGTTCATGTGACTGTTTTTTTCTCCTTTTTTTTACACACATCAATTACAGCTTACCCTATAAAATTGTACTGTAGTTATGTTTGGATTAAATAATGATTTGTGCTGTATCAGTTTTTTTTTATCCCTTATATTATTTTAGTGTTGTGTCATTGTGTTCTGATGCATTGATCAGTCTAAATGATCTTCTGTATGTTACTTGAATTGTCAATAGTTGTAAAACCTCTACTTTCTTTGTAAGCTTTAACCCTAACATTATGGAATTGTCTCTTTTAAAATGGATTAGTTGAATAATGAATTACGTTGTAATGACTATCAGTTCTTTCTGTTGTTTGTTTTTTTTTAAAAAGGAAAAGAAAAATAAAGATTAATCTAACATTATTTACTAATACAATTTCAAAATTTGAAAGGATTCCTTTACATGAAATTAATTTCAGTACAGAATTGTTTCTAGCTGGGCTTCTCATTATTTTTAATGAGTAAGAGCATCAGATCGGTCTGAATTTGAATAATTCCTAAATTGACCAGATGATCATTGAAGACAGAACTGACGAAGTGTCGTCAAGGTGTTGATCAGAGTCTTTCAAAACTTCTTATTAGTTTTTCAATCTTCATAGTGTATAAGTTTCTTTCGTAATCTTTCTCATAGCCATAAATTAGTTTTATAGTAAATTCATTACTGCCTACAAAAGTTTTTATTTGTAAATTCGCTAAAGATTTATAGAGATGAGAATAATAAGACAATGCTCTAAGGAAGATCAGCGGGGAGTATACTGTAGGGACGAGCTTAAAACAACTGCAACGAATATTCAACCACTTCTCAGTCAATCAGAGAGTAGCTTTGTAAATGGTTAGTTGGTACTAAACAACACAATAAATAAGTTTTATATATTTAATGATTCTATTAAAGGCTTTTACAAGTTACTTTACCTGTATATCGAAAAAACAATGACATATGAACTCGTTCTTACAAATATAAATTGTTCACTTTCTCCAACTCTTAAGAGGACCAAAACACATTGTTCCTAGTTAAACTTAAGTAATTAGTGTAATGCTTAGGGCTTAGGTTTGGCTATTTAATCACTAACTGACATCAGCTATAATGTAAAAGTGATTTGCAACCATATAGATGAATGAATTTTACATAGAATGGACACTATTTGATCAGTCGGTTCATAAAATGTAGTGCCATTAGGTTATGATTTGTTCCGTTGTTCAGGGTTTATAGTTAGAATCTAGGGATAGTTTCGACTCAGCTGTTATATGTGATCAAAGGGGGCAGAATTAGTCTTAGGATATTCTTAACAATATCCCATTTATTCGCTGTTCGCAAAAAGTAATTTCCTGTTATCATTTTGAAAGTTTAGAGCAATGTTCAGAGGTATATCTGGTCGTTATGAATGATATTTGAATTTTCCGCAAAAATCCAAGTCTCAGTGATGAATCTGATTAGCACATCCTAATCATATAGCTTTCTATAACGTTCCTATATAGATAATGGTAAACCATTTATTACTAATTAGTTGATCAATGTTATTTGATGGCAGCTCTTTAAGGAAACAAGAGGTTGACATATTTACGTATTTGAAGACATTAGACAAAAAGCCTGAGACTTAGGTTCCATGCTAGTTGGAACTTGTCAATAAGTCTTACATGAAACATTATTAAATTCTTATTGCTCAGTGTTAGTGTTATAATGCTCGGTTTTCCATGTCTACACGAATGGGACGTTAATTTACCTTAGACGAATATCTACACTAAATTCCCTCCCAGTACCTATTCTACAGAACATCAATACAACTCAGTTCGAGAACACATGAGTTGCCTGACTGAAACGTAAATGTATTTCCGCACCAAAAACCGACAACAAGCCGACACAATCACAATAATAATAAGCATAGGAGAATATATAATTCATCTAACGCCTATCAGACTATCTACAAGTCTGACTAAGCAAACAACCAACCATTATCATCCTCGTCCGCGCATCAAACAGTCAGGATGGTTACTACTGTACTATCCGTCTCAAGACTGACATTTTACAGGACTTATATTCATACTTATTGGTCAGTGACTAGCACCCAATGCTAGTGTCAATCGAATTCTATAAGTGTGTCCTTTTCGCCCTATATATATTTTTGGCATCGTCATACGGAAAGTAAATCTTATCTCATAGAACGTAAATACACTCACTGTTCTTTATATCATCATAAAAGCTTAACATACCAGTTGATTTCACCAAAATCTAACTCCTCGAAATAAGTTTGATTTATATTCAAATAAATATCCTTCAGCTATTCATTTGTATTGTTTAACCTGAATCATCCATTGATGTTTAGGACTACAACTGATCAGTCTCTTATTGGCATATGTACATCCTGTACGAATTATCTCGAAATAGCCATTCAGTCACAAACATTTTTAATGGAGATGAATGGTAGCTAGCTTTTAAGTTCAGGATACGTGTTTCATCCTGTTTAGAATTCGTTATTTGTATATACCTGCCAAATCCGAATTAATGTTCACCCCGGGACTCGAACCAAATAGGACAAAGCATACGTTTTGATCTCCGCTACTAACTCCCATATATCTTTGATTATAAATTTTGATTATGTTATGAGAGTATCACTCATCGCTGTTTGATTTTCACTAATAGTTATATGCTCGGATTAACTTGATGAAAATGCCCACAAAATCCAATATTCTTTGGTTTTGAAAAGTATACATATATTTATGAGAGTTGAACTCAGTTCAGTTAATTATGTAAATATGTATAATCAATATTTTTAAAGTAATGATTGATCATATTGTGAATTATTTGAGTTGAAGATGCCATAATTATTTGGAGTTCGACAACGCTTTAACCAGTAACAACTTCTATTATGAATCGTACCCACTTAGTGAAATCAAAAGATAGAATTGAGGGGGTTCGAAGATATATTTGATAGGTTATCGATATATTGTGGATCGACTGATTTAATCTGGCTAGTGATTGTAGGGGATGTTGAGCATGGCTTTTCCATTCGTGATCTGGTTCGGATGCATGACCGGGCGCCTTCATCTAGGTGGATCCATTAAACCTAATGTGGTCAGCATCCAATGTCGAAGACTTATAGAGCTATTTATTTTAGGGATTTACTTACCGTTACAGAGGTATCTATTATCTTTTCATACAACAACACTGAATATCTGGTTAGTTTGCTTCTTTTGTGAAATTGTTCACCTTTAAAATAATGGGATTTTAATAAACCAGCTAACGACATAATTTAAATAGAATCTTAAGTTAAAACATTGTTCTGTTAAACGCCAAGTGTTTCTAGATTGAACAATTCAGAGAGAGGATATGATAACTAATTTAGATTAAACTATTCAGTTGTATTAAACTGAAAGCCTGAATTGCAGTTATATACTTCAATGACTTAGTGACATGTTGGACACCTATGGCTTCATTTACACATTGACCTTATGATCGATTGAATTATGAACCCATTAGCTTATTCCGTTGCCATAGTTCTTGAATCTAACCGCAAGATCCAGTGTGTTGATAGCTATAAACACCGAACTTCATTCAAAAATAATTGTCAAACGGATAAAGGTTGACGAACCCAAAAAAATTTCAATTAATGTATTTACTATCATTTTAAGATATCTAACATATATACATGCATCTAGAAGAAACGAATCCTAAATCATGTCATTGCTAATGCTTTTCAAATTTGTACGATACTTGGCCAGTAGTTTCCATCTAAAAAACCATTGGACCCAAATTACTAGTTATCAAATAAGTCAGTCTATCAGTTGAGAAAATTTTAAAAGATGTATTTATCGAATAATGGTCCCCTGAAAATAAACCATTCAAATATATATATATAATGATATCGTGTGGGTGCCTCCGAAAACCAAAGAGCGATAGGTAGCTATTTCGTTCTAATATACGACTCCTCATTCGTACTCATCAAAGATCTCACCAGAGATCAACACCACGATCTTCAGATCTAACAGTGAATGTTTGACCATTAAAACAACTACATTAGTCTACAGTGTTATAATTTCAATTTCAATCCATTTGCAATATAACTCGATTATCATCCAATGACATTGATGATATTTTTTCAAGGGTCTGTACCTCTGAAGAGTTCCATACTAGAAGGAAACAGTAGTCAAGTGCTCTCTGATAATTAATTCCACCACAGATGAGTTTAATCTTCGACTAATATAGTCTACAAAATCTTGTTTTATTGAGCTTTAAGTAGTGGTCTAGTTTTGAGTTTTAGTGAAATGACATTTCAATAAGTCACATTCGGTTTAAAGATGTACTTATTCGAAGTAGGGCAAACAGAGATCTAACAGATCTTTTAGAAATAGGCTTTCATCTTCTGACATTGAAGAAACGAATACCATAATCTGCTCAGAAATCTATTCGCTGTATGAATGAGTTTCATGAGATTTTTGATGATCTCATAGTGTCCCGATTAGCGATTATGTCTGTTAGCTCTTCCATTCTCTTTTGAAATGGAGGCAGTTAATCATGATATTTTGATAGGACTGACAGATTTGATAGCCGACAATATTCTAAATATGAACACTTCAAATATATTTTAACACTGACTGAATTTCATTTGTCATTGAAATAAATCATTGAAATCACTGATCAATCAAAGTAAGACAACCACTGAAAACCTGGAATATCTGGAAGGGGGTTTCCTTACTAGTATGTTGCTCCTCAGCACTGTGTATCCACGACCCTACACCTCGAGGATTTAACCTAGAACCTTATGTTTTCGAGACATTTTTATATAAAATGTTCGTTTCTTGGGTCAGCTTATATATGTCAATAATTGTTTTCATGTAAAAATTTCATTTCGTAGAGATGCAGTTATCAACTAAAAAACAACTCAAATTTAGGATCTTTTTTACTCAGAATAATAAAAAACGATTCTTGATTACACAGTGCTAGTGAAACACTGTACACAACTAAATTTATCTCAACTATAAAATTACGATATTAACCCTGATTATTCAGTAAGTATATATTAGTTTCAGCCAGTCATAAGTAGCCTATATCCTGCCACATATCAGATTTGGTTCAAGTCTTCATAACACATCAACACACTGAGATGAAATCACCGAAACAATCCCCAAAGTAGGGGAAGTAGTACCACTATCATTGGTGGTAGAAAATAGTCGCACAGATAATACGTTTAAAGAATGAGTGAATTTGAAAGAAAAAGATCATAGGACAAATTTGAAACTCAAGATTTATGGAGAGACAAAGAGAGAATGCATATGTATCATTGTTACGATTCTAAGTCATCCTATCCAGCACCTCAGAACTCAACCTGGCGGTATTAGCCTGGAGACACAGCTCAGTTCAACAGTTCATTACT